GAATGCTGAAGTTGGGAATAGAGACATTATGATGATTTTTCTCCAAGTAGATTTGCCTTGGTATGGCCATAAATTGATTTTATAATTGTATGTGTATACAGAGCCTTGTATGTAATTTTTTACTACTTTTTTTTTTTTTCTGGGAAGATGGATCGGCAGGCCTATTTGATTTTTTTTTTTTTCTTTTGGTTTTCAATTTTATCACTTTTAATCTTTGGTGTGTTTCATGGTCTTTAACTTCAAAGTGTAATTGCAACGATGCAGCTGCTTAATGGATGAATACGTTTAATATTTTCCCCCTAAGAGCAGTATTTCTTCTTTGCATCTATAATTGGATCGTGCTGCTGCTGTCCCTAATGGAAACGCCAGGTTTCATATTCGCCATACACCTGAGCACATGCTTACTCACTTGGTAAGCTTAATTTTTGTTCTGGATTTATCGAAACCGAATTGTATTCCGCACATTTTTTTGTGCTTGAATTTTATTGTAAAAGGCGTGCGAGGGGAGATGCCATCACGTGCCTCTGCTGCACCGAGCTTTCGGATCCAGGCTGGGTCTTTGTATCCCACCGCCGCACGTCTCGAATATTAGATTTATAGTACTTCAGAGCCCAGCTCCAGGGCGACGCATCGAGATACCACAGATTTGGCGGGGGGAATTGATTTTGTAGCGAGGGTTACTTCTTGCTGCTCTGTGCACGTTCCTGCAGGCGTGGCCTTTCTTTCCTGTGCTGGTGGTGACTACGGCCACCGCGGCTGCTGCAGAACGCCGCGCGCCCCGTCTCTCACTCTGCAGGCAGGCGGGAGGTGAGTAATTTTTCATCGTTGCTGCATCTGAAGGATTCCCCTCTCCCCTCCCACGCTACCTTGGCCCCTTTAGGAAGATTTTCATCTATTAAACTTTCCCTTCTCTGTTGGAAGAACTAAATCTCTTTCAGCGTTTCCAGGCTGGTGATCTAATTTGACAGCTCGTCGGTGATGTCTATTCCACTTCAAAGAGGCAGGTAGCCTCGGGCTAGCCAGCTGCATTGCGGATTCGGCAGATTTGGCTTGCCGTTCCTGCTGGGTGTCATCTGTCTTCTTAGTCTTGCGGTGGATAATTTTTGTCCTCCCTAGCATCATCTGCCTGAGCAGTTTCTGCCTGGCAGGCCTGTCTGTCCGGGTTGAGCATCAAATACAGTAGCCGCGCAGCTAATCTGACAGGGCACTCCTCCAAACAGCGCAGCCCCGGGCCTGCTTTGGCCAGCATCGGCATCGCGGCCCACAAACTTCCAGCCGTCACGATGGCGGTCTCGGTCTCTTCTGCTGGCGCGAAGTACGTCCCCCGCTTCGCCCTCTTAAGGGCCGTCGCTCCGATTCCTCCCGTCTCGGCAGACGTCTGCCTCAACAGGTTTGGGTTTCCCTGCCTGTTGCCGGCGCTTGACTCGTACCCCGCCGCTCGGATGAAACAATCCTTTAGTGGATTATCCTCGCTAGACGGCCTGTGGGGGAAATGACAGGACTCGGCACGTTCATCGGAAGATGTTGCAATTCAGAGTGCTGCTGACGCTAATGGGAAGTGGCAGGGTGATCCCTAAAAGAGAAAGCGGGTTCCGTTGCACGGCAAAAGTGACAGAGGTTGTTTAGCCTATCTTCCAAAAAAATACATGATGACTACATATGTTGATTTTCATGCTCCGAGCCATAGCTGTTTCCGTATTTTTGTGACTTGATGACTACTTCCTACAAACTGACAGGTTAGGGGCTCCACAAGTATTGTCTTTTTTATAGCCATCACCTCTTTAAGTCCTCCTTCATTGTTTTAAATATGTTTTGAGAATAAGCTTGATGGGGCAGTGAGAGTAAGCAGGGGAGAAAAAAAACAGGCATAAATGCAGCAAATAAAGCATAGTCTTTAAAAAAAAAAAAAAAAAAAGTATTCAAACGAAGAGAAGACATGGTTTCAGGACAGTAGTCCTAGAAACCAATGCATTTATCTGTCATAGGATTTGCCCTTGTTGCAGTCCCGTAATTCGAACCTGACATTATTCATGACGTAAAAATTCTTTCTAAAAAATGCAGTAGTTATAAACCCCCTTAACTACAGGATTCCCTCCTTAGCAAATAAAAAGATAGCTGGAGCATAGGGCTTAGAGGGGGAAATAACTTGTCTGAGGGAGAGACTAGGAAAGGATGGCAGCTAGACTGGAAGGGGATAAAATTAGCATTTGAACAATTCTACCCCTAATTCTTAGTGATCATCAAGCCAGCTGGAATATCCTCCAGATATTATTAATATATGAGCACTAATGTAATTTACTGGTGATTGTCCAAGTGCTCATGTGCTTTGGATCCAAGTGGAAACATACAAATACTGATCTGCAGTTTGCAAGAGATGGTTACTTTGGGAGGGGGAAAAATATGTGAGAGAGAAGAGTATTTTTTAATGATTCTTATCTCTGCTAATTATTGCCTATTTAGCGTAATATTTACAGACTACATAACAGTGAAGGAGTGAAAAACAATTTTCTTTATATATTTATGCTGAATTTAATAATAACTTTAGTTGAAGTACTGAATGCTTCCCAATGTAAGATTCATTTTCTTATTTAAACAGATTTTAACCATATTTTGACTGATTTGGAGGGAGATTGTTCCAACAAGACCAATTCCCTCATTTTCAAGGCTGTGTTTAGAAGATTATATGTATTGTCAAAAAAAATATTACAGTGATGTCAGTGAGCAGTTTCTGACCTTTGATGAGACACAGAATTTAATAATAGGATCATTTTTTTGTGTCTGTTGTAATAGCTTTACACAGTAAAAAAAGGCCACTGTAGGTTGCAGCAGACCAATTTGTGGTCCAGTTCTTCCTTCATTGACTGTATGCCACCGAGCAGTGCAGTATGTACTGCAAGTAAAAAGGATGTGTAAAAAAACAAACTACCAGATGCAATGGCCTAAACAAGGATCAAGCTGTTCTGAAAGTTATTGAGTATATGTAGCATGAAAAAAAAAAAAAAAAAAAAAAGAAAAACACCAAGGGAAAGTTAATAATGTTAATTTT